GATGATATTATTAAAGAGAAAAAAAAAATCTTTGTGAGGTAAATTAAGGATGTATGACACAAAATAATATACCATTCATTTTTAGAGTTAGTGATTCAAAACGACTTTTAAGAAAATAGAGATGAAATTTTTTTATTGAACTCTCTAGAACCGAGAGATTAGATATGGACAAATTCCAACTACTCTAAAGAAATTAATGAGATCAACTCAACATCGATTAGAATTATTTGTTTCTCATTTTTTGAATATAGACAAATAGAAAGACTTTGACCTATTTGTTATGAATATGTAGAATGTTTATATATTATATTATGTCACAGTAATTGTTCTCCTAGGTGATTACTTATCATCGAAGTGTATACATTTTGCTTAAAAACTAATTACAATTAGAGGGAAAAAAAAAAAAAACTCACTACGAAATTTCAAAGAGAATTATACATGATATATTAACTAAATGGTATTCGTTATTGTAGCTAATGGTAAAGTAATAACATAACTGAATGGAACTATTTAAAAGGAAAAAAAAGAATTCATAAATTAAATAATATGTTTCAAAAACTTGAGAATTAAATAGACAAAAAGGTAGGATATAATTTATCCAATAACAATACCCAAAAAAATAAAAGTTAGAAATATATAATTTTACACAATAAATGATATCTTTTAGTTTTAGAAAATTAAACTATATAGAAAATTAGGGGCAGTCTAGCTTCTTCTACCCTACTACAACACCACTTGATTAATTTATTTCTTTTGGTCTTCTTAATTAATGAGATACAAGTTAAAAAAAATCCAAATATAACTCAATCAATTGCATTAGTAACTTATCTTAGAAATCAAAATTTCAAATTTCAAGAACAAATTATTTAAAAACTTATATTTAAATTATACGTTTAATTTTTTTAATACAACAAATATAAATGCATGAAAATTTGAAGTTATATAAACTACCTTCCTTCCGTAAAAAGTTATCTACCTAACAGTTAACAGTTCATTTAATATTGATGTACAAAGACTAAGTTCTCATATTTATTATTTGGAAAACAATGCCAGCTAAGCTTCATTATTTAATTATATTCAATTAAACAAATCTTATTGTACAATATCATAAAATCCTAAAAAAAAAAAAAAGAAGCTAAAATATGGTGGGCCCAACCTTCAGGCCCAAAAGGCCCATTAGAAATGCTGGACGGACGGCTTCCCTTGAAATCTCAAGGTTCGGTAGCACGGTTTCACATGCCTTTGTGGGTAACGATATCATGACATCTGTAGTTTCAGCATTCTCATTCTCCATCCCCAATTTCTGCAGGCTCTGTTCAAGGATTAGGGCTTCGCCATCTTCTTCACTCCCTCTTCGCTATCGGAACGGAAATTCCAGGTTATTTAGCTCGGTCTCGATGAGTGAATCCGTTGAAAGTAATTCCGTTCCTCCAACGGACGACGGCGGAGCGAAGGCGGAGGAACGAGCCAAGGAGGAGACCGCCGATGTTTTGGTTCAGTACGTGGTGCTCCGGAGAGATCTGATCGACTCGTGGCCGCTCGGAAGCGTCGTAACTCAAGGATGCCATGCTTCAGTCTCCGCCATTTGGTTGAACAAGGACGATTCCCACACTTCTGAGTACTGTAGTCCTGGTAACATCGATTCTATGCACAAGGTAAGTCAAGCTTTTAACTCCATTTTTGTTTTTGATTTTCAAGTAAAGCACCTCGAACAATGTAGTATGGGTTCGTGGCTACTATCTTTGTATGTTGATGTGCCGAATATTTGGTTTCTCGGTGCTCTATTTAGTCGGTCTGACAGTTGAGATATTCTGAGCAATTTGGAAGTTTTATGCTGTGGTCGCTGGTTGATTTATTCAGTGCTGGGAAGTACATTTTATTTGTAGTTTTCGATCTTTCTTCCGTCAGGTGTTTGAACATTTCGGAAGAACAATGGTTGATTGGAAAGCCTATTCTTATTTCTGTTCGCGTTGTTTTCCATGTGAAGAATTATTAAACTGTGTTCTGATTTTCCACCTTAATTCCACAATTGTATCCTTCCAGTATCTACATTATAATCGGAGGTCAAGGAGAGCTCATTTATCTCATATTTCTGCTTGTACATTTTCTTTTAGTTTTATGTGGTCTTCAATCATTTTCATGGTTAAAATGCATTCCTCTTCATTCGCATTTTTGTTAAACGATTGAACTGCCAAACCTCTTGTTTATTGGCAAATTCCTTGCGTATCAGATTAATATCTTGTGCAACTTTGTTGAATTAACTGGCATACTTCCGTTGATCTATTAAGCCATACTGGACTTTTTGATGCCTGAAGGTGGGTTTTAAGAAGCTGATTGTATTTCACTTTTTCCATATGTAGATTACTGTCGAGGTGAAAGGAGAAACCCAGATCGTTAACTTGTCAGAGAAACTCAAAGCAAATTCAATCGCCCATAAACTGTGGATCGAACAACCCGAGAACATTCCAACATGCCTTGCCACAAAGCCCTACCCCAAATCTCTAGTATCAGCATTTTTTAAAAAGCTGAAACTCTGTAAGTGATGAAATCTAGAATTTTTAAGAGTTGATACGTAATTTCCTTTACAAACCCCTCTCTCCCACCCAAAAAGGAAAATAGTGGGAGAGAAGAACGGCTTCTTGAACAATTCGAATTCAAAAGAATTGCTGACTTCTTTATGCCCTTCTTCTAATTCATGCTAAATATGAAAATTCTACGTTATGAAGACTTGCAGAATTACAAACTACTTCTGCAGAGAGATCATGCGACACAATTCATAATCATAAAAGACACAAGGGAGAAGAAAGGTATTTTTGGGCAATCGAGGTACATATCTATTTCTAAGACAGTGTATACTCTGGTAGATTTTACACAAACCCTGATAAAAAAAAATTACAAAAAACGAACATAAAACAGAAAACAAAACTGTAAGAAAGATAATAGAGTTAGATGATTCTACTGGACAACCAATTCTCTGGTGCAGATGCTGCAATATAACTTTCGTTTGGTTTTCCAGTAGAGAGGGAGGAAACAGAAGCTCCACTGGGTTTGAATGTCGGTGGCCTGGACCATGCCTCCACAGAAGGGGCAAGCCCCTGGAGCTGGCTGCCTCGACAGCACCCTCTGGTTCTCGTCGCAAACAAACACCAAACACATCTTCTTTCTCTTCTCTTCTCGCTTTCTTCTGGCTGTGGGATTCTTTTTTTGTTTGTTTGTTTTTGGGGTTTGGATCAAAAGTAGGATGGGAGGGATGGATTTATAGAGAGAGAGAGAAGGAAGTTTCAAGGAACCTGAGTTTGAGATTTTTCTTTGGCCTATGCCTATGGCTTCCGGAGAAGAAACGCGTATCCAGAAGATTCTGACCCACTCTCGAAACAAGGAAAAGAGATGAAAATTGAGAGAGAGGAGAAAGTTTCAATACCTTTCGGCTTCCCAATTTATTCTTCCTTCCCACTTGCTCTGGTAACCTTTGACGGGTACGAGTATTAGGTAGGGGAGACAAAATTTAATAAACCTTGATGACGTGATGTTTCAATTTTACGAAAACATCAACAGTTGATAGTTATTTTTCTAAAAATTAAATTAATTAATAAAACTTTAAATCTTTTTTAAATAGGTTAAAAGTTATTAATATTAAAATTATGCTCATATTAGTGATATTTTTTTGATATTTTTTAGTGTCGGAATGTCAAAATGTTGATAGAAATTTAAATACTCTAAAGAGGGTGGAATGAGATTATAGGGTGGTGAGTGGTTTGGTTCAATATTCGGTTTTTGTGGGTTTTTTTTTTCCTCTCGAATCTGACCTATTGATTTAAGTAAGTCTTTAAAAATTAATGTTGAAATTAATATTTTTTTTGTCAAGAAATCGAACCAACTCTAATTGACCACCCCACGAAACCAGTAAATTTTATTCACATTATAAATTTTAATTTAATTTAAAATCAATTGTTTATTTTTTTATTAAAAACTAAAGGGATCGAATTCTGTAATTATTTTTTTAGAATTAATTTTGGAGGTGTTTTGTAACCAGTATTCCAAAAGTAATACGAGGTTGTGTTTATTTTTAATTTAATGTGTTTGTTAGTTGTTTAATAGCTTTTGTTTTCCTTTTTTTTTTCTTAAAGATAAAATTGTATGTGTGTGTGTATATATATTGTTTTCGTACTCTATTTTTTGAAAACATTATTCTTCTTCTTTTTTATATCTAAAAACATTATTCAATTATTAGTCAGATTTTGACAATGCACATAATGGGTTCTCTTGGGTGTAAATTATAACTTACTAAATATTAGATCATGAAATAAGATGATTGGTATTGTATTGTATTCACCATGAAATTTGAATCGCCTAATGCAGTTTTTGCAGCAAGGGTATTAAATTTTTGTCGACGTTTTCACATGTCTATGGATTTGTTCAACGTCAATACGATGGGTAAATCGATATTTTATAATATTGTAAACGAATTGACAAAATATAAAAAATATCAACAAAATAACACTAATGTGTACCTAATATTTATATTAATAATTTTCAACTTATTCAAAAAGGGTGAGATGTCTATTTTTTAATTTAAATATTGGTTAGAAATTTTAATCTTTATAATCTTTCTAGAAATATCCATTTTACCGATATTACCTATGATGGTGATCAAACCTGGCATGTGATGTTTGGACATAGAATCAAATCTTAGTGAATGAGCAAAGTTAGGTGCTCTTATTTTACAACGGCAGGGACGATTGCAGGTGCTTCCACTGCGGTATTGGTAGAAGAAGTTGATACGAAAATATGAAATGGTGAGTTGAGGTATAGTAGACAATTAATGGATCAATCATGTGGTCTCGCAGAGTTCTCGAACTTGCTGGACGCTCCCTTTCACTTTTTTAACTGTCTCAAATCTCTTCATAATAGAAGGTGAAAGTAGGAAAAGACGAAGAAACCCCTTTTTCTTTCTGTCTCTCAAATTCAACATCAAAATGCTTAAATCCAGCGAAATAAACAACAAACAAATTTAACACCCACAAGGATACCCTTGCTCGGCCATTCGACCAATTAAGATATTGATTTCATAGGTTTCACTTCATGGTTCAATTAAAGATAAAACTTTAAGATTGAATTTACCTAAAAGGTAAAAGGTTAAAAAAAATTACCTTTTATCTTTTATCTTTTAGATAATTGAAATTTCAGATAGTGTTTGAGTTCTGAATTCTTATTGATATTAGCATGTATATGATAATTACAATAGTAGCCTGTGCTGAAACAGCCAGTAAAAATCATACTATCCTCACATTTATACAACCTGCTTCAAATAGTGAAATTAAATACAACAAATTCAACAGATTGAATAGAGAAAAGGAAAAAGAAAAAGAAAAAAAACCAACAAACTGATACAATCTTCTCTCCCAAATTGTGTCATTTTATTATACATTTAAGATAAGAAACTCAGAAATGGATGCATCAATCCCTTTTGAAACCCACCAACCACCAAGAAGCAAAAATAGAAAGAACGAAAACCTCAAACTCTACAAATTTGAGTTAAATTCTCCATAATGGGTTTTT